GCGGACGAGGCACGTGTTTGAGCATTGAAAAATGCAATATGTTTTGCTACGAGATTGCCAAGTTTGAATGGTTTGAATGCCCAGGGCGGGTCCTTTTTTTTAAATCCCAACTTTTGTTTCCTCTGCAAATGGAATTTGCGAAAGCGGAAGAAAATTTAATTTTTGTTTGGAAAAGCCCAAAATTTTCAAAAAAAAAAAAAAAAAAAAACAAAATTATTTTCATTGGCATTTTTTTTTCCCCAAAAATTTATTTTTCCCTGTTGGATTGAGAATAATTTTTTGCTTGATCTTTTTTTCTGCAATTATTAAAAGGTTTTTTTTTTTGAAATCAAAATTTCTCTCTTTAAGGGACAAAACAAAAACTTATTTCCTCACAAAAAAAGGGGGTTTTTCAAAAAAAAAGGCCCCAGCCTTTATGGTAATTATGAAAAAACTTCTTACCTTTGTTAACAAATTTTATTTAAAAGGGGAAAGAAAACCATTTTTTCCTTTCGGCGGGGGGACAAGGCCATGTCCCAAATTTTCATTAAAATAAAAAAAAAGCAAATTGGGGCCCCCAACCGTTTTCGTAAAAAATTTTCTCTGCTTGTTTGAAGTTTTTACCAAAAAAAGTTTAATTTGTTTTTTTCCGAAAATTTACAATCCCACTTTTCCCGGGGCTTTTTTTTGGTTTTGTAAATTGGAAATACATTTTTTTATCAATTTCCCCCATTTGAACAAAAACGGGAAGAAGGGGAAAATTGTTTGCCCACTAACAAAAAAAAAAAATAAAATTTTTTTAACCCATTTATTGGTAAAAGAAAATTGAAAAATGTAGGCTCACCTCGCGCTCGATGTGGCAGGCTACGCGTGCAGGCAGCGCAGCGCCTCCGCCTCGTTCGACGCGGCAGTTGCGGAGAGGGGGGCGTCCGACGCACCCGGCGCCCGCGCGCCCGCCCCGCAGACCCCCCCCGGCCAAGCCCCAGCGCCACCGGTTCACATCGAATAACTCACAGGTCGCCCCCCGTGCCACAACATCCTACGCCCCGTGCATCACTCGCCCTATTCCTCACACACTGTTGCCAATGCTCCACACCCTCGCACACCGGACACCAACTCCTGCACCTCGCATCGCACAGCAGAACATAGTAACCCCTTCACCATTCTCCCCACCCCTCACCACCCACCACGCCCCTCACCACACCTCACACCACACTTCATATCGCACTCCTCAGCTGAATTGGCCTAGAGCAACAACTGTTATTACTGCAGTATCTCTGACAGGGAGGCCCTGGGGTTAGAGTTTGGTGGCGTATTTTCGTTAACAGCTAGGTCGAATTCAGCCCCTATCTGGAGAATTCTAGCCGCCGGCTGGTCTGATCGGTAGTTTCTCTTATCAATACCAGGAGAATGCCGGAACAATAATACTAACAAACGGCTACCGGCTGTGCCCTATTTTTCCTTACTCATCCTTGCCTCCTCCTCTTGCGCACTTACGTACAAACGAATACATACATACTAACACACACGCACACACACACGCACACACACATACACATACACATACACATACACATACACATACACATACACACACATACATACACACACACATACACACACATACACACACACACACACTACTGTTCACAACTGGGGACCATTCGGGAGCTTCGGACGTATCGCGTCTCGGACGGTGCCTAGGTGGTGATACCTGCAGGAGAAATCCCCCTGCGAGTCTTCGGGGAGGTAGGCGCCAAATCTCAGGTTCTGACGTTGGAGGACACCGCTATATCCCTCGTTAGTATATCATTAGCCCTTTCACCTCACTTGTGGGATTAATGACCATAGCAGTTTACGAGCCTGGAAACATAAATTGATATCTCACATACCATGCTCTAGTCTGAGACTTCATGTCGAGACTCCACACTATTCGATTGTTCATCTCATACCTCACAACCTCTCATTCCACATTTTACGTATTATACCCCCTCCCCCCTTAAACTTTACAGCGAATGTATAATACCCTATCCCGTATTTGCATACTCTGTAGCACATACTTCGTACGTTAATGCTTTAACTCATACCCCGAGTTCTATACGTAATTCCTTTATGTTTCCATCCAGATCTCGCTTTCCACATCCCATATCCCTTTCCCAGGAACCCAAACCTCGTACCTCTCACCCGATCTCATTCTGTATCTCACATCTACATCTGGTTCCCCCATTTCCGTATCCTATATACCGTCTTCATTTTCTCAAATCCCACCTATTGCATTCCACACCGCCTCAATCTATGTACTATTTCATACTTCGTAGTCCTGACCGTACACCCAACATCAATGCCTCCTTCCCTTCTCTACTTTACTGATTTATCCCGAGGAAGGTACGCAATCCTTCGTTACCGAAAGTAGTGTTTGCAAATCAATGCCTTACACATTTATTACTGCTAACACATTTTATTCGATATACGGACTGTTCTTACCCACTTCGTGAGTGCAATTCAAGTTTCGAAAGAAAGGAACAGATAGATATTGAACACCATGAGCTTCCACTTTGCCTCCAAGATATGTCGAGCTTCAGTTTCTTATAGTAGTATCAGGGGTCATTGTCATTTCGCTATAAAGGCAGATTTTTTAAAGAACAGTCCAAACCAAAAGTTTTCAACTTGAGTTTACTTGAACAAAAGGAAGAAGCCTCGATTTCATCAGTAACATACCCAACAGCTTGAGTTGTTCAGCTGAAGTGCTTTTGATCAAATTTTTACGTCATTTTTCTTAGTTATAATTAACACATATAATTAACTTTTTGTTGATTTCCGTTAAAAATCAAGAAAAAATCATATCACTATTACCAATTTCTTTATAAATGAACCAATATGCATTAAAAACGCTCTTTAGGATTGTTTATTGTGGCCTTAATTAATGAAAATAAAATTTTGAAAGAGAATGGGTCACAGATTCATCACTTGTTTATCATTTGATTAAAAATTCCATTAAAATTTTAAAATATTTTGAATAGTGAAACTGATCAAATTTTGCATGTAATATCACAATTGCGTTATTAAAGTTTGTGCAATATTCCGAACTAATAAGTGAAAAATTGCCAAGTGTAGCATTGTCGTTGATGCATTGCCTTGAAAAGAAAACCCTTGCTCCTCAGATCCGCCAGCTGCAGCAGGCCCAGGAGCAGGTGCCGTTCTTCTATGTGCGCGAGATCCCGAACAAGCCGCCGCCGCCCTACACGCCCCCGGGCCAGGCGCGCGCGGCGGCGGTGGCGGCGGCGGTCTCGGTCGCTGGGGAGGCCCCGGGCGCGGGGGCGGGGCCGGGAGGGCGTCCGCCTGCCGCCGCCCCGCCGCTGACCGGCGCCCCGCGCCCCGACCAGGCCGCCGCGCTGCTAGACGCACGCGGCGCGGGTGCTGGCGGCGCCGGCGCCGCACGCGCCGCCGGCCGCCCGCTCGACGACGTGGCGCCGCCCCTCGGCTTCGGACACGACCCCGACTTCGAGAAGGTGAGACTCACGCCCCGCCCCCCTCGCGCGCTCTGCGTGACTTTAGAGAAAAGTGCGTTATCATGAACGCACATTAATCTTCATGCACACTTGAACATTAGTATGCAAGAGTCAAAGCTTTATAGCCATATGTGGAATGAATGAAGGAGCTTGACGGACAGTTTGTTAATTATGAATGTGATGTTGTGAGACAGGGGAAACGGGAGAACTTCTACAGTAAATCTACCCTGATTTTAATTAATGCATTAAATTTAATGTACAAATATATTAACATCTTTTTTAATGTACTTTTGCACCAAGGTTCATGCATATTAATACTTTAATCTTCATTCGTTTTAATGACATTTCTGACATTTTACCATCAAATGCACATGGTACCATCGTGCAATGGCATAGATAAGCAACTCCTACGCAGCGATTTTTGCTCGACTTATATACGGTACGTTAATACGATGGATGGAATTTGTTCCTAACTGTGGCGGAAGTATGTGCTGCTAACTATACATTCCCATAATGCAACATTGCTAGAAGGCAGTTCTAGTCGAAGAAGTGCAAATCAGAAGGGATATAACTTTATGGGAATTTAGCATTGGCTACGCACACACTTTCATCACAATTCGCAACTACGTCCATTTATCGAAGTCTTAGAATGAATGTTATGTAAAACGCTTTAAGTCTTCAAACGATACAGGTCCCGTAGTTGTATCAAACATGCATCACATCGTGTTAATTACCCTTAGTGTAAATTTTATGAATTGGCTGTTGAATTATTCTTGGGCTGTTTCTCAAGCCTCATTATTGTCTGCGAATTGTCGGCCGTTAAGAGGTGTTTTAAATGAAACTACTATATGGTTGTTTAGTTGTCGCACGTTGAGAGAACTGGGTTGTGCGGGATTTTTTCCAACATTTCCCATCGAAATCGGTACAAGAATCCTTTGCACGCAGTAGCCGCATATCTTTTATAGTCCTGCCCTCTCACTGGTGCTATTAACACTCAAGTCACTTCTAGCTCTTATAGCAATCTTTTCATCAACGGCGTTCATTGTTTTGCAATCACCAGGTCGCCTAAATTAACTTAGAAGTCAAATATTTATAGGCATATTTCAGAACTAGTTTGCGTGGCGACTCCAGTGCTTTACTCGTCCATTCCCGGGCATGGAGAGTAGAGGGCAATCTTTAAAAATTCTCGATAAAAATAGTTTTATTTCAAAAATAGATTTAATCAGTAGTGCGCCCAAGGTGGGTGGGGTTAATGGGGCTCTTTCCAGAAACTGACGACACTTACAATATTCAAAAATATACTCATTTTTACTAATTTTCTACAGAAACGAATAAATTTTAAATTAGAATAAATGAAAACTGCTTTACAACAAAACATCAAGTCTGCTAGGCAGAACACCTTCAGACTCCCCCCCTAAAAATCTTTGTTTCCTCTTCGGGAATAAGTATCTTCAATCTGAAGAATAAAGTTCACTCATGTTATGTCAGAAAGGCAGGTAGTATGTGACTGCTTGTCGCCAATGAAGATGTCATTAACCCCGCAAAAAATACTGTTTTCCCAGAATTCTTTCAAGTGCCAGTTGATTCTTAACAAGAGGAATCCAATGCGCTATTGATCCCCTCTTTAGTAACTTTGAAAACACTGTTCATAGTGCCTAAAACCCCTTGATAATTTATCCTCGAGATCGATATGCTAGGAATGACAACCCAGACCCGAAATGATGGACCGGAAAAAACTTTGACTTTAACGGACACGCGCACGTTTTCCGATTACTACACGTAGGATCTATCATTCTTTAATCTGTATATTTTACACCCATCTTTTAATTATTTGTGAAATTCACAGCAGTCCCACTTTCCTTTGGGTAACGGAAATATATAAACGATTGGATATTAAAATTTTCACTTCCATTCTTTTTGTACACATTGCTTTTCCGTATGCTATTCACGCTGACTGGCGTGTGAACCATACTTGCTAAAACGTTCCGTGAAGCCCGCAATGCAGCAAGGGTGTTTGTGTCGGCAGCTGGCGCAGACGCGCGCCCACGGCGGCGCGCACGCGGCGGCGTACGCGGCCTTCCTGTTCGAGCTGGCGCTCGCGGCGGTGCGCGAGGATGGGCGGCCGCAGGGCGGCGCCCTCGCGGGGGCGTGGGGGCCGGCGAGCGCTGCCCGGCGTGGCCGGTTGGCGCGGGTGGCGCCGGCACGCTGCGGCCCCGGGCGGCCCTCGCCGCGCGCCGGCCCGGCGGCGCCGCCGCCCTCGAGTGGGCGCGCGGCGACGGCGGCGGAAAGACGGCGGCGGCGGGCGCGCGCGGGGAGGCGTCGGGCGGCGGCGGCGGGGCCGCGGCCGCGGCCGCAGCGGCGGCGCCGAGCCGCAGATGCAGCTGCGCGGAGCCGGCGGCGACGCAACCGCGTTGGACGAGCTGCTGACGCGCGGGCACCGCCGACGAGGAGCCGCGTGACCGCGCTACGACGAGGAGAAGGCCGCGCTCAAGAACGAGGTGACGGAGCAGGTGCTGGCGCGCTGCTGGACGACACGGCGCACGCGCTGCAGCTGGCGCTGGACCGGCGCGCCTCCCGCGCCGCCCGCGCCTCCGACCAGGCCCTCGGCGAAGGAAGGTAGGCGGCTGCCAGTGCACCACTTCCCTCCCGCCCCTATTCGCCTGCGCGGATATCCTTTCCTGCATGCGTTCAGCTCCTACCTGCCTCGCCACTTCTATCTGCCCTGCAGTTCCCAGCGCTTCAGTGCTCCTTCCTCGCAGCTCCCACTTTCCCTTCAGTTTCGAGCTTCCTTGCAGCTCCCACCTTATCCCAGCTCCCATCTTCCTTGCTTCTCCCGCCTCTCCTCCAGCCCAGTAACGTAACGAAATGAGTGCGAGCCCTCCCGCGGAACATTTATCCGAGCTCCTTTATAAAAGTGTAAGCTATCACAAGTAGAGGTACTACCTTAAATGCTAAAAATATACCATAAAACGGGCCGTCTTTTACCCGGGCCTTCCCGCATTGCGGGCCTTGCGGGTCCGAAAGTTACGCCACTGCTACAGCCCCCAGCATCCTTGTAGCTCCCAGGTTCTTCGCAGCTCTCATCTTTCTCCAAGGAAAAAAAGACATTTTCGTTATTAGGAATTATGGGAAACTAGTATTTTGTTACAAATAACATTGATTTTCCCCTGCTTTATATAACTTTCTGTATATGGTTTGAGAAAGGGGGGGAAAAAAGTGGTTATCTTTGCTCCATCTATTTTTGTATCACGAAAAGAAATTTTAAGAAATCTTGTTTTGCAAAAATGCATTGTGAACCTTTTCAACAACTAAAACACTTACTGAAAAATATTTATACAGCTTTATAATTTGTGATGCCCATGACTCGCAAGTGAGGAGTATCACAAAATTCACTTAGATTTGTTTTCCTTGTCTTCTTAGTGTCCCTTTCCTTGCCTAGTGTATTTGGAATTAGTCCGTTTTCTTTTAATAGCAAAATTTCATTTTTTCAATTATTTTCTTACTTTTCTTTTTCTTTCCAGTAATAATGGTATGTTCATATAAGAGCATATCTTGATTTTGCAAGTTACATTCCATGTAAAGAATGTGAATAAGAGTTAATTTCTTTCTCTAATACAGTTGTTCTTTTGTTGCAGATAAAAATGTGGAAAACTTTATCAGTGTGTATAAGTGGAACTGGTCAGAGTGATGAGTGTTCATGGCAAATTAGATCAATTTGTGAACTTCAACATCAGCATAATAGAATGCAACTTCAAAAGCCTAAATGATATTGGTGAACTTGAAGGAATTGTGAATAATTTCTCAAGCATTTAATCATTTCACCATTTGTAAAGAAGAGAGTAAGGAAGTTAGGTACTGTCATTTTTAACACAAGAACAATATATACTAATAGCAGGAAAGTGCTGTTCAAAGTAGTAAAAGGATTTCAGAGACAAAAAAGTTATTGTGATATTCATGACATTATACAAAACTACGTGAGTGTGCCATTCTTGAAGAAAACTGTGCTCTTATTGTGACAATGGCAGTGTTTCAAGAAAATGAACTAATTAGAGGATTGGGAATCTGTTGCTCACCTTTCTGTGCTCAGAACACAATTATAAAAAAAAGTACATGTATGTTGTTGAAAGACTGAAACTGTGTTCCGTTGGTGCTGACTAAGTGCCTTTATCTTCTCAACTTGTCAGACTATGCATTTATAGAATTTTTGTTCTGTTTTAAAATACTGTCTTCAGAATCAATTACTTATTTATTTTCAGGATATTTTACTTTTGCCAGTTTTTACTCGATAAATCTTTGTGCTCAAGAAGTGTTGTGCTACTTCATTGACTATAAGACCTTCCACAGGAATCTCAATAAAATGCAGTCCTTGTATGGAGCCTAGTCAAAAAGGTGTGCCTTTGCAAATATTTGATATTTCATATTACACATTGTGACATATCTGAAACTATGCAAGGACTACATTGATGGATTTAGAATGTGCAGTATTGTTGGTACATACAATTAAAGTGTTATTATATTGTTCATTTGTGTATATAAGATATACTTGCTCAAATCTGTGGTTTACTTTTAATTATATTCTTATTAATAGTGCGGTATTGGATTTAATGTTTTCGAAATATGCTTCATAATACGTAATTATATTTTGGGTCTTGCTGATATGGAAGATTTATAGTGTATGAAGGAATTCTGTAATGTTGTTTCATTTGTTCACACATATGTCAAAATCAAATTTAGGTATTACTTTTCTGATCTGTCTCTGTCCATGTCTCTCGTGAAATGTGTGGTATGTAAAATAACATCTGCTTGTTTACTAATTCTAGAAAAACATTTTAATTTTTGTATTAACTGATAGTAAAAAGTTATTAATGTGAATTATTAATATAATTAACTAAATGTCAGGTGGCTGTGATGAATCTTGTGCCTTTTGTCAGACTCGCATGTAAGAGTGAACGATACTGATCATCTCAGCAATGTTTGTGCCATGCATCTTCCAGTGACTCTGATTTAGTATTTATATATCTTTTAATGCAATAAGATTAATTTTAATTCAAAGATTGCCATTTTGATAGGAAAGTGAATCTGTAGGAACTTCACCATAAACCAGATTTTATATATTAGGTACAATAAAAATTTTGAAATTAAAGATTGGAATAATGACAAACTTTTTATATGAAAAAAGTTGAGTACAAAAACCTTTCAAATCCATATATAGTTTCCATCCAATTTCCTCAAGAAAAAGTGAGAGGCATTAAAGAGCATTTCATCACGACTCCATGTGCCTTGAAGAAGTTGCATTAGTACAGTCAGAAGTTGAATCAATATGATGAATTGCACCATCTATTGTTATTGTGCAGTTAGCGTATGATGGTAAGATCAAATTATTGCACAGTTTTATCTTACTCTTCTTTTTTCAAATTTTATAACATAACTACTTTTATTACACATGTAATTTATTTTGAATCAAAATAAAGAAATACTTCTTTTACACAGTCATATTCAAATAGAACACGTATGGCATTTTCAATTATCTTTCTCTACCATATCCAGAGTAGAGTAAATTACAACATCTATTTCTTTGAAAACTATTAATAAATTAACCAGAACTTTATTACTAACTTTACTAGAACTTATAATGGAATTTCAATCGAAGAGAAGTTTTTTCTGTAACTTACGAGTTGACTCCATAGGTAGAGTAAGTCAGTCAAAAAAGTTATTTTAAATAATTGTACTTCAATAAACATTCTTTAATATTAAAATTCCTCATCTCTCAACTCTTGCTCAATCATTTCATTATCGTTTTTAGGATAAATATTATTGTCATTCAACTGAGCATTCATTTGGTAATTTCAAAATTTTGACAGATATGTGTTGGTTGCATCCCTTTGATTCATCAGCAAAACACCAGTTATCATCAACTTATTCAAATTATTTAATTTTTCTTTTTCTCTTTTTCTTTCCAAATTGACTTTCCTGAAAATCCGTTCACACTGAACATGTTTTGATCAGCTTCACCCATTGAATCCTTGTAATTTAAAACTTGAAATTAAACACAGAGAGGTGTGTGCGTGTTTTTGTTCATGTTGTTGTTGTTGTTGTATTTAATAGTAAGTAAATATATGAATCAATTTCTTAATCTATTGAACTGATTCCAAAAGATGACTTTTCAGTTTCCTTTGTTATTTCCTCTGCAATTTAAAATAGCATCTGCCTTTGCTCATGTAGTTTTTCATCGTCAACGAATATTCTTGGTTCTGTCATGGTCAAAGGCATTATTGATAGTGTTACTGCCCCTCCTGACAGAAGCTCTGTCTGGTAGAAAAATGGAGATGGAAGAAAGAACTGGATCTTCAAACTCCTATTACCATAAGGTTAAGGAATTCTTGGCAGCAATTTTTGCAGTCTAGATTGAGAATATGGTAACATTGTATACTTTCTCATTCCATGTGTTTCATTACAAACCACACCAAAATAAAAATTCTCAAGGGGAACATATTCTTTAGATGAATACATTATTTATTTCTTTCAACTGGACATTATACATATGTGTGTGTATATGTATAATATAATATATAATACATAATATAGAAACACCCAACAGAAACATATTTAACACTTTACAAACATACTTAATACAAGGAACCCTTCAGCCTACTATATCTGATTAATACACCTTCAATAAACTTCACAAAGACAATCAGTGCTTATACACCTGGCTCAGGCAAATTTTTGTCATTCTTAAGCAGATGATTCTGTACACAAAGTCTGGTATTGACAAAGTTATTTTTACTTAAGTGAGTGTTAACAGGTGTCACAAATGGATCTTTATTCCTTGTATTGTATCAATGAATAAGTGATTTCTTTGTATATAGATATGAATTGCATTTTATAAACATTCAGGTTTCATAAATATACATGGTAATATGTGCAGTTTTAAAATGTCTACAACTTGTGTTTGTACGAACTCACATCATTATTCTGATTGGTCTTTCTTGAAATTTAAAAATTGATATGGCATGAGATGATTTACTCAAGAACATTAGTCCATATAAAAAGGTAAACTGAAAGTGAGCAAAATACAATAATTACATGAGCTAATTCAATTCGCAAAGCTTTCCTGATTTGTCGTAAAACAAAACAGACTTAACTCAATCATTTTGATAGTTCTCGAATTTGTGGTTTCCATTTCAGTATGATGTCCAGCCAAATTCCCCAAAACTTTGTTTCGTTCATTAAGGTGAAGTCTTACTTTAGGATCTTTACCGGTGGAAATTTAAATTTGATATTTTGGAATTCATGAAAAGAAATTGCAGTAGTTGTATCTTTGTTTATTACTAGCCTACTTTTCTCAAACCATTACTCATAATTTGTTTAGTGTCATTAGTTTTAATTTGAACCTCATTTGCATCCAATGCGACGGGGTCAAAGCGTATGAAAAGCGAGCCATGAAATTCGCCTATCCGTAAGTTTTATTAATTTCTATCATAATGCATAGTGGCGCGTAGCGTAATTTCAGCGAGACCCCTCCTCCTCTGCCCCTCCACCCCCCCCCCTCCGCCACGCTTATCTAAAGGTGTACCGTACAAATAATTTTTGTTGATTAACTGTTTCTTTATACATAGAAACTATACTATAGAAAAGAAAAATAATACTTATTTTAACTATGATATTAATACATTAGGTCCGATGAAAAGAACTAGATGATTGACATTCGCGAGTGGAGGGGAGCGACGCTGCCAAGTTTGCGTACCACTGAGCACGTGTTCCCGGTACACGAAAATAAACACTTGAAATAAATACTTATAATAGTAACCAAATCATATATACTCACATTGCAATGGCGGTTCGTAATTAAATGTTTTATTTATTTACGCCAAAAACAGTTAAATGCTGTGTGTGACGTGCTATGGGGAGAAGGTAAATTGAAGTTACATTTATATCCAGAAACAAAACAAGGGGCCATCTCAGCATTTGCTTAAGGCTCAGGGAAACTGAACGAAAACCTTATTGAGATGGGGTCCATCCACCCAGAAGCTGAAGTACAATACTTGTTACAGGTTCTTTAGAATTTTACAATGCAAATGGTAAATAATACACTAAATGTCGTTGTTAAAATTAATATTACTTTCCTTTTGGATACTCGGTATAGTCTCTAATTGTATAGAAATAGTTGTGCAGAAAAGATTTGACTTTGAACTTAAACTGTTGTATCGAATTTAATCGTTTAATGTCATCTGGGAAGGGGTTGTAAAATAATGTACATGTATTGTGTGCGCATTTTTTTGTAGTGAGCTGTTGATACTGTCACCTGATGAATATGATAACTACGTCGAGTGTTGTAGTTATAGACATCAGCGTTTGCTTAAAATATATTTCCGTCCTTAAAAAAGTTATTTTTAATAAAAACCACTGGTTCATATATGAAAAGACGAGGTAATGGTAAAATATCTACATTAATAAAGAGAGGCTTACAAGAATCACGTGGGTGGGATTTGTTTATTATTCGTACAATTCTTTTTAGTAATCTAAAA